TGCTGACCGTTTTACTAACGTTTAATCACCACCTCCTGTAGTTTGTGCTGGCCAAATTTCAGGTGTGTACGACCTTCCCTGTAGGAGGAGATAGATTTTGAAAATGGCCAAAAATGAGTGAAAATGGCCAAAATTGTCACCGTATTTTTTCAAAAATGGCACGTTTCATGTTGGGTTTAGGGCTTGGCGCTGATTGACTTTTTTGTGCATCCTGACCTGCTGCACATACCCACCGAATCTTGTAGCTGTAGGTGAAATGGCCATCCGACAGGACTCTGCTGAATTCCAAAAACACAGCAAAAATGGACAAAATGGCCATTGATCGAAATTGCACGGGACGCCATTTCCAAACCGGGTATCATCTGCGAAGCGTTTTGATAATTTTTAATCACCACGTCCTGTAGTGTGTGCTGGCTAAATTTCAGGTGTGTACGACGTACCCCCTAGGAGGAGATAGATTGTGAAAATTGCCTTTTTTTTTTTTTTTTTTTTTTTAATGACCCTGCATGCTCACCGTTTTTCCAACATGGCGGATTTCCGGTTGAGTTTACAGAAGCATGCTAATTGACTTTTTTGTGCATCACAAGTTGTTACACGTGTGGTGAACTTCATAGTTGTAGGTGAAATGTAGCTGCGATGGGACTCTGTTGAAATACTGTAGGGGGCGCAGTTGAGCCGTATTGCATTTTAGGGCTTGACGCTGGCTGACTTTTTTGTTCGTCCTGACCTGCTCTATATGCCTACCAAATTGCTCTAGGCCAGGGGTGTCCAATCCTGGTCCTCGAGGGCCACGATCCAGCATGTTTTAGATGTTTCCCTCTTCCAACACACCTGATTCAAATGATCAGCTCATCATCAAGCTCTGCAGAAGCCTGATAACGATCCTGATCATGTGAATCAGTTGTGGTGGAAGAGAGAAACATCTAAAACATGCGGGATTGTGGCCCTCGAGGACCAGGATTGGACACCCCTGTTCTAGGCCAAACGTGCTTCCGATGGGACTCTGTTGAAATTTTCAAGGTGGTGCTGTGGAGCCATTTTGGCATTGACATGTCCATGTAGTTTCTGATTTTCGCCAGTCCTGATGTGCGTGGCGATTTTGGTGAGTTTTAGAGCACCTTTATAGGCCCTCAAAAATGAGTTTGATTTGGCTGAACTATAATAATAATAATAATAATAATAATAATAATAATAATAATAATAATCACAAGGGTTGCAATAGGGTCCTTGCACTGGTGTGCTCGGACCGTAAATATAAATTTGCTAAATTATAATTTAGTGAAATGAGACATTTCTTTTGAATTGTGGATGAAAATGATAATTAAAACAAAACTGTCCCGGACAAATTAGAGCACTTTGCTGATGAGCAGTGAACCAAAATCCAAATACCTGTCAACAGGTGCAGAAGTCTGATGAGAGTTACAGAAAACGGTTGATTGCAGTGATTGGCTCAAAGGGTTGTTCAACAAAATATCAGTTTACAAGTCCTCTCATTCTTGTTTGCTTGTTTTCTGTTTGTTTGTAATAGTTCTGTTGAACCACAGTTCAAAAGCAATGTCATGATTTTCATACATTTAAAAAAAAAAATGTATTATTACTTTTGTCAATTTCAACTTATTTCACTAACAGCAGTTTTTTCCCCTTCTTTCATGGGAGGGTATGAACACATTCGAGGACGACTGTATGTATACTGGAATTTTAGTCACGATTTTATTGCATTTTTTTAAACGGAAATGCTGTGCGTTCAAGTTCTCTCGAACTTGCCGCATTATTTTGTTTTCGATCAGGAAGAGGAAGTGGCTTTTGTACTCTATGTATTTGATGGCTTTTAAGCATATATTATAATCGCGGGCTTTTCACCTGTCAACATCTTTAGAGACAGCATATAAACCTGCCTGTTTACTCTTGGGCTGTGCAGCGGACATTGCATGACTTCGGTTGATGAGTCCTCGGCAGCGGCGCTACAAACACACTGACGTCAGTGAAGCAGCTCCGACCCGCAGCAGGAACCAGCAGCCGAACCCCTGATGCTCCTGAAGAAGAGAGGACATACGTGGTTGATAGTTTCCAGTATGGTGTCTTTAGTCCTGCTCATGATGCTGCTGTACGGCACCATTGGCACCCAGCAGCCGGGCAGCTCCATCCTCAGACATGACTACCAGCTGCTGGGCAGACCTCTGTATAAGCTGGACCTGAGCTGGCCCAAGAACCCGGAGCTGTTCAGCGGGCTGGTGTACGGAGTGGCTGTCAACCAGTATGCTGGTGTGGTCTATGTGGCACAGAGAGGTAAATACAGGAACTCTACCTCAGTGCTTCGAGTAAATCTGCATTTACGCTTTATTTCGTTTGTGTAATGAACATTGTGTGAGCTTGTTCCTCATCACGCTGGTATAAAAACAATGCGCATGCGTTAAGGATACAGTAAATGAAGGGACCCGGAGCCTTGAAAGAGTCGCGACTGAGGAAACTCATTCCATTGTGGAATTCAATTTGTTTTATTATATTGACAATTCTTAAGCACCTATGCATTTATTATTATAAACACTGACGCATGATTTATTAAAATTCATCCCAACTTCATTGTGGATTTTTGTGCATGTGCAAAAACGTGCTATTTAAAAGTGCATTTTAACACATCACATCACATTCATTCAGGACAGGGTATATTTATATGTATGTTAAGACAAACATGTTTATATTATGTGTCTTTTGTGTTTTTATTATGCATTCAGTTACTGCAAGAAGCCATACATTAAATCCTATTTGAATTCAGAAAAATTAAGAGCATGTCAAGTTTGCTTGTTTGTATAAATATTGTTTTCCTGCTCAAAAGTAGAATAAAAAACAGTTAGCTGAAGTCAGCAAGACCAATTTTGGATGGATTACATGAGCCTGGATTGCAAAACATTAGATTTACAATTAACACTTAATTTTTTTGAGCAACTGGGTGACATGGATCCATACATCAAGGTTTGTTCACTGAGAGATAGTAAAGCAAAGTCCTCAGAGATACAGGCTTTGCTAAATAAAGAACACCAGTCTCCAGTCCAAACGTTCTGTCGACGGATAGCTGGGTTTGTCTTTGTGTTTTTAATGGTTTTTGAATAAATGGCACAGAGAAATAAGATGCATCAGACTCTGTTAAACAGTTTGCACTTGTTTTTGGTTTCAGTATCTGCCTGTGATATTTGGTGACAGAAAGGAAAAACTGGATATAACTGAATATTTGCTTTTAATAACATACCAACATTTGCCACTGTAAACTGGATGTGTTGTTTGAAAGCATGATGCCAAAATATACTGGAACTCAGTACACATTGTTTTGATTATTGACTAATGGCTGGTCAATTATGTATTAACTTAAATTGAATAAAATAGATTACTCACATAATGAAGGGCAGGAGTAACAACCCCCAATTGAAACCAAAACTCTGGTGTTAATGACTCCTTAAGGATATAAGTATCTGGAACTCCCAACTAGTTAGTCAGAACTGACGAAGCCTCTTGGATGAGAGGTGAAACATCTTCAAGGAACTCAAGCAAGTCCAGTTGCTACGGTTAATCTACAAGAATTATTTACAACTTAACTTGTAACAAAGGCTTGAAGTTAGTTCCTGAATTTGCAAGGATGTTACAACAGGTCAATAAATAACTGTTACGCAACTTCTTTTGGTATTTTCACAGCCCTTTTTGTGGACTAAGTTTGGTTTTCTTCTGATATCTTCTTATTTATTCCTCACTGTATCTTAACTTTTAAGAGTCACTACACATGACTTTCAGTGACTGTCAACAACTGAAAATGAAAATCATGTGTGTGCTGCCTGATGCTGACTCACATCTACATGTGGAACTGTGTTACATAATGCCCTACTTCATCAGTGTCTACCTTTGCTTGCCAGGTGACAATGTGCCCAAGGTGCTGGTGTTTACCACAGATGGAGATTTCCTTATGCCCTGGAACACAACCACCCTGGAGATGCCTCATGGAATATTTTTAGCAGACGCAGCCTCATTAAACCCCACTGTGTGGATCACAGATGTGGGGAACGGCCCATATGGCCACTGCATCAAACAGTACTCACCGTCAGGGAAACTTCTGCAGGTGAGTGCTTCATCTCCAATTAGAATGGGTGTTAGCAGTGGTTGGTTCTACAAGCTTAGTTTCCATTGGCACGTTTAGTGTGATACCTAGGATTAGAAAACAGTCTGTTGCTTGCTGTTGAATATGTTCTTGTGTGTGTGTCAGGTGCTTGGTACACCTGGGAAAGCAGGCTCTGAACTGGACCCACTGCAGTTCGACCAGCCAGCGGAAATCTTTGTTCATGACTCTGGGGAAATGTACATCGTGGACGGTGATGGTGGGATGAACAACCGACTGATCAAGCTGTCCAAAGACCAAGAGGTGTTGTGGGTGCACGGAGAGAAAGGTCAAGGCATGGCTCAGTTCTACATCCCCCACAGTGTGACTGTGGACAGTGCTCAGAGAGTGTGGGTGGCCGACAGGGGCAACAAGAGGATTCAGGTGTTTAACTCTGTCACTGGAGACTGGCTGGGGACGTGGGGGAGCTGCTTCACTGAGGATGCGCCCTACTCTGTCCGCCTGACCCCAGACAAAAAATACTTTGTTGTTGTCCAGCTCAACACCAATCAGATTTCGCTGCTGGATGCCCCGCCAGTGGGTATGATCGGCCAGTGCAGGGTGGTCAGTGTGATTCAGCTGGCTGATGAGGTGAAGCCCCACCTGGTGGACCTGGACCTGAAGACCGGGGCTCTGTATGTGGCGGAAATTGGAGCTCAACAGGCTCAGAAGTTCACCCCCTTTAGTCTGGGTGGAAGTTTTCTGTAGAGCCAAATTGAAAAAGCAAAAACTATGTCCGTCATAAGAATTACCGCTTACTTAAAATGTACCAAAATGTTCAGATGGATATATAATCTGCAATACTGCAATGCAGAAAGGAAAAAAAACAACACAGTATGGTGAAACCCTCATAATAACATATCTAATGTAGCCTCTGACAACCATCTCTGAAAGGATTTTGTCCCTACAGTTACAAATTAGTTGTAGATAAATCTAATCTATTTGAGACTGTTTCTTTTAACTAAGCATGTGCTGCTTTGAACTTTATTAGTATTTAGCAGAATTCAACTTCAAATACATCAGTAAAATATTTTGGGATCACTGCACAGGACATCTGTAAATTACTCTTGTAAATCAATTTTTTAATTTCTGTAACTAGTTTTAGTGACTTTAAAAAAAAAAAATCTTTTATTTTTGTTGCATTGTGCAGTTATGTGCCAATATTTATTTTCCCAACATTTCAGTACTTGAACAGATCGGAGCCGCTCTGAAGCAGAAGTGTTTCCTTCCTTCACTTTTTTGCTGGTTCAGCTTTTGGCGTGTGGACAGTTGTGTGATTACACATGTGTAAAAGGGTACAACTAAATTGTTCTTCACACTGTATGCTCTATGAATGTGAATTATGTTTTCTGAAAAAATAATTTTGACACAGCAGATGAATATATTTACTCTCAGTAATAATATTACTGTCTTGCACTATGTTGCTTGTGTTTTGAGATAAATGCTGCTCTGAGAAATGTATTTCAATGGAACCTAATCAATATAGAACAGAGTCCTGGTGTTTCTGAATGGTTCTCCAAACATAACCAAGAAAAATCACTTTTAATACAAGCATATAGCTTTGTCTCAGTCACTTTTATCACACATCTAGCTCATTGCATTGTCCTACTATCTATAGGAAGAATGGTGTTTTCTACAAATATTCATGTAGTCATGCTTTAACTTTCTGCACAGAGCGCAGTTTATGACGTTGAGGACAAGTTTATTCTCAATAGAGCACAAAGCAAAAGAATCTATTTTAATCTTATCAGTTTCCACAATATTAATGAGAATAGATTCACCACTAAAGTCTTGGTCACATAAGTACATTAGAGTACCATTAGATATATGTCAAAGCATAAAGATCCACTAGATCTCAACAGATCTTTGTATTTGATCATGTTTTTTTTTACAATGCTGATATTATCCTAATGATGTATTGCAGATACAATTCCCAAAGAAATTCCCAAACTACGCGAAAAATCTTCTCCAAACCAAGATTTATGCTTACAAACAAGAAATATGAAACATTTTTCATAGTTGCATTTTGAGAACCATTTTCAAACTTTAGAACTCTGTTTTACTTGAATTAGGCTTTCTAACAACATTTTTGGTTTTGTGTTGCAGCATGTCATACCTGCTTGATCAGTTATGGAAGTTCAGTTAAAAATGCTTTCCTTTCATTTTTGTGACCAAATATTTCATAATAAAAGTATTCCCTGTTTTCTTTTGTCATATTTTGACATGTAGCTACATATGTTTCAGAAAATATCAGTAGCTGACTTCTGCGCTGTTATGTTTTGATAATCAGAGACGATTTGATCTGCTTGTCTGATATCGCAGATTCTGAATCAATAGCATGATTACAAATAACAGTGAAAATGTGTGTGTAGATTCTCAGTCATTGAGGTCATGGTAACCCAAGGAGCTTCAGCAGGAAGCAACTGGACTTCTCTTTAAGGTACCTGAAGATGTTTCACCTTTCATCTAAGAGGCTTCTTCAGCTCTAATTGACTTATGGAGAGTTTCAGATGTTTATAGTTGCTCCAGCTCACGTGGTTGTGAAACCAGGGAGTTCAACAGTAACAACGGTTGTGGAGCTGCCAGTTTACACAACAAAGGATGTGAATCTGCAAAGTCAGGAGTGACAGAAGATGTTAATGACGGTGAAACTTCCTGGAGAGAGATCTTAACTATGGCTGAGATGGCTGTTCCAGTTTGACGTAGATGGCTTCTTTCGTTCCTTTCTCAAACCAGGTGTATGTAAAAAAGTGTATTTTTACTTCACTTTAAAAACCATATACGTCATGGCAGTCTGAAGTTTTCAATGACTCCAACAGTACTTTGTGTGAAATACTTCTTGAATAAACCATTATAAGTAATATTTCGGGTGGAATCAGCCTTTAAACCAGGTCTTGTGCACTTTAGCAGCCATTTAATGCAGTAGGTGGCGCTGTCTTGAAACTACGAGCTATAGACATGCAACCCTAGAAGTGTGGTCCCACCAGAGCAGTCCTGGAGGTTAGCGTTAGAGCAGCAGACACATACTGTTGGAGTCAGTCTCGTCCCTTGCTGCTCCATGAATTGGCATTTTTACAATCTGGTACAAAAAAAGCTCCAAAGTCCAGCACTGACTACTTAAACTAAAACTCTTTTAATGCTGAATTTCAAAAGTGTGGATGACAGAAAATCTTCTCGTACAGTCATTTGTATGTAAAATAGCCTTTAAGTTGTATTCTGTCCTTTAATTGAAGGCCCTAAAGGCCAATTTAGGGCTACAATTGGCCTTTAATTTAATTTTGGCCTTAATTTGGCCTTTAAGGCAGATTCTGCTGGAAAATAATCAGAGCTTAAAACAAATGTTTTGTATGAGGAGAGACTGTACAAGGAGATTTTCAGTCATCCACACCTTCATAATTCATCCTTTAATTCATCCAGCCAAATAAAGCCAAACATCCCTAGCATGACATGAGGCTCTTTGGTGTCGTGTCACATCACACTGAAGTAACGTGTCTTACCAGGTCTGAACAAAGAGGTGGAGTCCATCCAGCTCTCGTGCTGCTGTCATTTAAAGGATAAGGGGGCTACAGAAATACTAGATACAGTTTGTCTGTTTTTTTCTCTGCATTTGTTAGCTAACATTAGAATTTGTAATTTAAAATTGTATATTAAACTTGAAACAAATAGAGAACAGAAGCATCTTCACTAGTGGTCTCAGACCTTTGGACCTTTGTATACATTCTGAAGGATTTCATCTCTCTCACTGATTTAAGGAAAATTTCTCAATATCTCTAGCTGATGCCAGCTGTTATGACCTTACATTTGTTCCACATACAAGAGGCAAGGACAGACCTACTGATCTGGGAAGTGGGTATGTGCAGTTCACAGTTTGCTTTAAGTTATTGGATCCTGAGGACTTGCTCTTTCAGCTTGCCTGTGTATGTACAGCAAAATGACAATAAACTTGATTTGATTGATTTGATTTGATTTATACAATGGTCAGCAAAGTGTGCTATAAGCAAAATGAATCAGTCCAGAGATTAAGAAGGTGCACATGTCACAAGAAGAATATTTTTTTAAATATATCAACACATGTTCCATTTTATTACAGATGCACTTCACAGCTAAGCTCTTGCACAGGGCTTTGATTGCATGATAGTGTGTAAAATTGTGTGAACCTGCTGTTACTGGACATGTTACAGGCCATTTATTGTCTTGAGTTGTCATACTGGGCCTCTGTCGGGCCACTAGGTGGAGCTCAGTTTACACAGTTTGTACATGACTTCTGCTCTTCCATTGTCTACTCCAATGAAGAAATACATGACAATAAATTACATTTTTAATGATTAACTTTATATATTTACTCATGATTGCATCTGGAGTAGCGTGAACAGTGTAGCAGTTAAAGAAGGTCAGCTAGTTTGAGTTCAGCTGAAACCACAGATCAAACATATCCAAGAGATGTACTGCAGTTATGGACAGTTTCTAGGTGAGCATGCTCTGGCATTCAAGTAATATCTTGATTTTCAAAAAGTTTATTCTAACAGCAAAAATAAGTTCCACTATTCACAGTAAAACTTTAATTATTTCCATTACCAAGTAGTCTTTGCCTTAAAGGTGTCAGCTGGTTCACAATTTGATCATACAGGTGGAGTGACTCATGGTCACATCAACCCATGGACTAAAATATGTACTTATTTGCCCTCTTATCCTCCTCCATGATTATTCATTATATTCTCAGTTAACCACACAGCAACCACAAAGCTGACATGGCAAAAACTGATATGTGATTGACTGTGTGAGTCTTCTGTAAAAATGTATTTGGTACCAGCTTCTCAGGTGTGAACATTTATCAGTTTCCTGGTTTTGTTAGTTTGTTTTTGTTTTGTTTTTGACTGTTGGAGAGTAAAATAGAGCATTTTCTATATGTTTGCAATGTATTCATTTCATCTTTGTTGTGTTGATTTCACTGCTTCACTTTGCATTTCATATACACTAAACCACTGATTAATTATTGTAATCGTCAGCGATACATTTGTGGTTGACTTTGAAAATGTCAACCAGACCTATGTTCTTATAAAGCAATGTCACCCACCCCATACTGCTCTGGTATCATTCTCTCTGTATAAGAGGAACTCTGTGGGCGTCCATGAAAACAACAGACAAATGTGAATTGAGTCATGGCTCATTGAATAAAAGAACTGGAAAGAGATGGAGAGAAAGAGCAAAGAGAAATGGGGGGGAGGCTTGGGGAAGAAAGAGGGGATCTATGGCAAGAAGAGAAGAGAGGAGGAAGGCCGTGTGTGAGAGGTAATGGGGTCAGATGGAAAGAGAGATGAAGGGGTACAGATGAATATAATGCAACACAAAGCTTCGTAACACAGTGGAGTCATTGTCATGAGGCTGTGGTGGCCTCTGTCACTTCCATCTCTGAGGTTATGTTCTGTTTTTCTTCTGTTTTATTTTGACATTCTTTCTGTGTTGAACTCACCCTCGTCTTGTTGCAGGTGTCTTCACACTGCTCTCAGGCCTGTGCGATTTCCTGCCCCATCCTAATATCCTCCACCAGTGTGTGATCGTCTCCCTTCCCCAGTGCGTTCATACTCACCCTTTTCCTCATGTTCCTCTACAGTCCATCTTGAGCTCCTGTGCCATCATCCCACCAGTTATTCTCGTTTATGTGTTTTTCTGACTCTGCCTGTATCTGACCACTGAGCTCTGCCGAGTGATTTTTTGATACATTGTGCTAATTCTTGTATGATAACACCATTGAACTTTTCATGAGCCTCCCAAGTTGTGCATATTGAGTCCACCCCCTGTTTGTACTGCTGTGAGACTCTTGGCACAGGAGGCACCAATGAAAGAAAAGAGGAGCCGTGAGGAGAGTATGGCAAGATATGGCTGCTGTGAGGAAGGAGCTGGGGACGTTTCTGACTGTGGTGATGCCCAGAATTCTTCCCTCTGTACACTGATAATAGGATGTGTTTCTCCCTAACATGTTCAGAAAATGCTTTCAAGATGCTCCATAGTCATGATTTTATCTCTTTAGGTCATGTGAAGAAGGCATGAGGAGGAGAGTTAAGACCCTAAGTTAATTTGAATCATTTTTGCTGTCCCTTTCTGCATTCTTTTGTCTTCCTTGAGCACCATTTCACCTGTCTCATACCCCACATGCATGAGCACAAACTCACAGAGTCTTCATTCATCACATCTCTTCTGAAATAAGTAAGTAAGTAGCATGTCTGTTGGTCCTGCAAGAAGGAATCCTCCTCTTTTGCTTTTTTTGGGGGGTTTTGTTTCTGGGAAAGTTTTCCCCATGTGAATCAACGATCTAAGGACTCAGGGGTTACAGTTCAGACTGTAAAGCCACCTGAGGCAAAGCAGTGTTGAGCCATATTAAAAATGTTTGAGATTAAATAAGAGTATTGTCGGTAGGTAAACTTGTTTACTTGTTTTACAGTTTACCTTTTCAGCACACAAGTAGAGCAGAAAAATGCATAAAATAAAATGTTAGTACAGAAATGAGTGTGAAATCTCCACAGTAACACTTTTTACTGGTTTTCTGAGTTTGTCTCCACATGACATCACATTAAAGTTACTATAAATACAACATGCTCATTGTTTTCAACAATGAATGATGCAAACTGTCACTAAGAAGTACTATCCAGAAGCATTAATAGTTATTTTATTACTTCACAATTTATTCAGTCCAACATACTTTATTCTGCTTTACATTTATTTTGCAGCTGCAGTTACTACTCACTCTTCAGAATAAACATATATTAAAGAAACATTTGCTAAGCTTATAAATTGCAATGCATTGTTAAGAACTAAACAAGTGATTCTGGGCCAAAAACATGTCTGGGTGAGGCTTCCTGTCATGTTTTAGATGTCTCTGAGCTGTCGGTTATTCTATCAGAAAGTAATATCATCTTGAGCAGCTCTAACAGTGAAATGATGCGCCTGTGTATCAGTATAAACACCCTAACAGCGTCACATATGGTAATGCTTCAGTCACAGGGACTGATTTCCTGTTAGGACAGCGGTTACAGTAAGTTAACTGATAATACAAGTCTTGAAATCAGCTGCAAAGTTGGTCAACTCTAATATTAAACCAAAATAATCAATCAGCACATTTGTCTGTCCTGTTTTTTAGTAGATCTTGCAGTGGTTAATATTTTCCTTACTAATTAACATGAAATGTCAATATGCAGACGATACATATG